GATTACGGGATACACCGAACGCCACTCTGCCTTACGCTCCAGGAAATATTGAGTCAGCAATCGTGAATTTAAAGTGTGAAATTGACTAACATTCTATTCGTGACTGTCAAACCGAATATTGCAATAAAAACAAATATGATTTATTTTGATTTTAATGACAAGATCATCTAGACTGAGAGAAGCATTCAATAAAAATTACTTAACCGTTTAGTAATCGTGTTGTTTTAATGTTTTAAACGTTCAGAGAAGATTACTGTACCAGTTATTAAAATTTGTCAACTGTTTAGTAACTTATCTAGGCATTCGTAAGTAAGTCTCTTATATAATTCGGTTAGTAATGCAAATGATTGCATAATGAATAGCCGATGAAAAAGACGACCAGAAAGCTTTATGTGAAGTTTATCAAATGGTCTATACAAAAATGTCTCGTTACTTGAAATATTTGTTAAAATAATACCGGAGGAGTTTATGAACTCAAGGATTTTTGTGCGAAGCCCTTTACATGTTGAAATATTTTACTCCATTAAATATCTCAGTCTCGAGTGATCTCATTCATCGGCTCGACCTCCTTTGTGCCCCGAAAAGTTAAAAATGAATAAAAATAGGAGTCAGTGAAATGAAATGGTTATTTTAATTGCAATTGTTTGTGATGTAAAACGAGTTGTCCCTAATATATGCGAGAATTGATATGAATGAATTCAAATTTAAACGGCTATGACTCACCGGCATAGTGATCCTCCAGGTACTCTTGACTGGAAGAATCCCCCTGATTACTAGCAGCTTCGTCATCCGCAAACTGATCGTCTGAGTCATCCTCACCCCTACCGGAAATTCCACCACCCTCTCCACTGTCGTCTACCTCTCGTCCACCATCCTCGTCCAACGAGTCATCGCCCTCCTCTGCTAATAGAGGATCACCAAATTTATAACAACCTGAAAAATATATTCATTTTCAAAATTAGAGGATAATTATTCAATATTTCACATATTTTTCAATCGAAAATAGTGTGAATAGAAAAAAAGTTTCCACTATAAAAAGAATTATTTAGCTTACAGAGAGGATTTTTTAATTCCTTGGGACAAATTAATTAGAATTGTGATTCTCACCAGAGAGTTTAGCCTGTTGCAGGATATAATGCTGCAAAGGCAATAAGTGATCAGCGTCGACCAACAAATTGCCATAATAAGGTGAAGCAGGTGGACTGGGATTTCCATTACTCCTCTTCTTCCTATCGTCAACCTCCTCCTCAATATTCCCCCCTAGTTCATCACAGATAGCACTATTCCCACTGGAGTTGCTATCATTACTACTGCTGGTATTACTTCCGAGTCTGTGCCGTTGGTCGTGCACCTGTCCCACTAGGTATCTCTCATGCATAGAATCATCATCACGCTCGCGTCTCCTCATCTGTTGCATTTTCTGCTGCTGTACAAAACTGTAACTCCTCGCCAGTGCCTGTAAATTATTGCAAAATATATTTTTCATCGGACAAATAACAACTTGTAATGAAATTAAATAATTGAAGAATACAGAAAAATCAATTATTTCATTGCCATTTAGAATAATTTTTGGGGGATGCAATTGTAATTTTCATGTGATCAATCCTCGGATCCATAAATAATTAGCAAAAACAATTATACGTAATAATTGTGGAAACTGTAGAGGCAATCTTTAAAAAAATTGTTATTCGATATTTTTGTAATTAAAAAAAATTTCTCTTCGACTCCGAAGGAGATTAAATCAGTTATAAATCTCAATCTTTTGCATAAATTCTTTCAGCTAAAAAGATTGACCTATATTTACTCATATATTCATTTATAATTTTTATATTTTATATTAGATATTGAGTATCTGAAGGGTTAGTATCACAGTAAAATGAATTTGTCCTTTTATGTTAAGGATGTTCATCCATTTTTAACAAATCTTATTTGTTTATCCTCGATAGAAATGCAATAACTTATCTAACTGATGAAAGAACCCATGGAACTAACTTCTTTTATGTAAAACAATAAATAAATATTTCGGCGAAAAATAATTAACAAATTCTTTACAAATTTTTCATTACGAACACACGGGATCTGAGGGAAATTACGTTTAAATTAATGATTCACTTACTAGAGGACTCGCGAAAATATAAATATAAATAGAGACTAGTATGCAAAAATGTACTGAAACGAATGGCCAGTAAAAAATTTAGAATACCACCACAAAGAAGGAAATACTTCAAAGATTCTACCCCATTTAATTTCTAAATGCTAAACCCGAGTTGGTGGATCTTTATTTTCATAAAAATAAAGGGAATAGTTTAAAAAAGTCAATTTTTTCAGGAAGACTCTATTTTTTTACGAATACGATTTTTTTCAGTTCCCGTTAGTTGACTGCTTTAATTAAATACATAATTTGTACCTGTTGGCTATTTTCCATTAAATTATTGCACTTTGTACGTCCGAACTCGTCCCTCTCCTTCTCTCTATCCCTTTCTTTATCCCTAGACCTCTCAGAGACCTCCAAACTTTTTTGCTTGGTGACATTTCCATGTGGATTTCCTCTTTTCGACGCTTCATTCCTCTCCGCTAGCATTGCACCATAAATCTCCCTGACATTCGCCTCAGACAGTGAACCAGCACAGCCATGATGCCTCCTCCCAATACTTCCAATATTGCTGCCACAAACATTACCAGGAACATCAGTTTTATTCATATTTCTAGAATGAACACCAGCCGAGTAATATCCCGATGCATTGCTCTTCTCCAAACTGTTCACTCGATCTCGGTGATAAGAGTCACGATCACGATGATAACGATTACTCGTTTCTATCAGAGATCCGTATTTGTCGATTTGTGATTGAGCTTTGGAAGTGTGGGGTGGGGCAATTTCTGGTGGACGATAGGGCGGCATTTCTTGTCTGAATGCACGTGGCTCCATTGACGATTCTCGATAGGGAGAGGTACTTGGCTCTGGGCCATAAGAGCCTCTGCTGCTTTCACGACCTGGTGACATAAATTTTCGAGGGTTTACCAATGGATAACTCAATTTTTGCACATGGCTCCGGGCATTTTTTTTGCAGAATAGTCTAGTAATTCAATTTAATCGGTTTAATGTCGATTAAAGAATTAATATTAGATATTTTTTTCTATAATTTTTATCTCCTCCTCTCTATTTTGAAAATGCAATATGCTTGATCCTATTTTTTTAGTGTAAAGTAGTTCTAAATTTGAAAAACTCAAAAACTTTAAAAATTAAATATTGAAAATTTTCAACGGAAATTTGAGATATTGATTGAAATACAAAGTGAACCAGTGG